GAATGGTTGAATATTATAAGAACGATACTTGAGAAGTTATTAATAATACTTTTCAAGGTCCTCAAGCTATCTAACTTATGGGAGTAGGAGATGGAAACTAAACAATATCACAATTCATTTTAGAAGATGGTCGTGCATTCAGAACATGAAAAAAGCATATAGAAATTATAGAATCATGTAAATAATTAGTTGATGATACGATAAATTAACAATTTCAAGAGAATATAATTAATGAAAAAAAAATTAATTCTTTTAGAATCTCTCAAAGTAGTTGACTTAGCAGAACAGGTATTTGATACAAATCATGCTGAAAGTCAACTTGCCAATGAAATCAATGAATTGCTCCAATATTTGAAAAAATAAATAAGAATATAAAACAAGCTTGTGTTGAGCATAATTACGACAGATACTGGAATGTTCCTGATTACCATATCAGTGATGTTGTATGTATTAATATGAAAACATGTTATCCGACAAGTATGCGAGGTCAAGGAGAATATACATTATGGTTTAATCGATTTGGACACCCAATATACTACCTTGTTCGAATTGCGGTAAATAAAGAATTGCCAGAGAATGATATTACTGAATTTACATAGATAAGATCTTTTAAATTTGTATCAGATATACATTCAGTAATTTCCATCTGGTATAGAAAACATTTTGTGTGTCAAGGTGAAAAAAGATATGGGAAAGAAAAAAGATGGGTACCTATTATACTTTTATGATATCTTCTTGATGTTGGTTTTCTAGAAAATATAACTATTGAAAATGCAATAATTTCTTTTACTAAACAGACCAAAGTATGACTACCTAGAAATCGAGATATTAGTTGTGCAATTATAGAAAAATTCATATAAGGTGATAAAATTGATGAGAAACGTCTCACATATAGACTTGTAATAGATGAAGGTAAACTCGATTTCTTGATTAAAGATTGTACCAATGCTGAAACTTTTGTAGGTAGGGAGAAATATCTACTCAAATTTATACTTACATATTATGAGGGTTATCAACCTCAGTATATGTATTTGTAAGCCTTAATATTAACTTATATTCATATAAACTTGTTGAAAATACTATGGAGATTCCAATCAAATAAAGTAGTAAGGATTGCTACAGATTCTATATATGTACAAAAAGAGGTTTTATATAAGATCAAAAATATACTAGCATTTTTTAAACAGAATGAATTAAAAAGTTCTTACGAATATAAACATACTTATCCCTCTTGTGCAATATGTGTTAATTCAGAAGAACTCTTTCTTGATATATATTCAAAACTGGTATGTATTAAATTGATTAAAGAATTTCAAAATATTAAATGTCATTGACAGAATATAAATGTAAAAAACATATGCCATTTGTCTATAAAAATTGTTTTCTAGATTAGTTTTATCAATCAAAAATAGACAAATGTAATTTATTACAACAGGAAGAAATCAGAAAATTCAACTTGGTCAATGGTACGATAAAGGTAAAAAAATATATACACCAGTTGCTGATATTGTATACTGGCCAAAGAATAAACATTGGAAATTAATCAAAGATATTTCAGAAAGTACAGTACTAACAATTTATGATCTTATTACAAGATGTCATAAATTATATCTTAATGGGGGTGGTTTAGGAAAAACAACACACACAATTCGAATTTTCAAAAATATAAATATAATTGTATTTACTTATACAAATGTGTTAACCAAAGATTTTTAAAAAAAACGTGATGTAAAAGTTCAAACTTGATATAGTTTCCTTAGATAGAATGGAGTGGAAAAGTGAATACTTAAATACATAGGAGAGAAGAAATTTTTACAAGTTGTTATTTGGAATAAGGTATGTACAGTTCCTAAATACATTTTTGAAATGTTCATTAATTATTTATTAGAACATAAATATCAAGTAATTTGTTGTGGTGACGATACACAACTTCCACCATTCTTCAGAGAAATGTCATATAATTAGTTAAAAGAGCATGCTAATTATTACAAAGAAGTTTCAACTGATTATCATATAAAATGTTCTAAGCTACGTAAACTCAAAAAAGCTATGTGTCAAAAAAATAATCAAATACAATCAAAATTATTTCAAGAAATTCTCCCAACTATAGAAAAATGAAAATGTCTCGAAAAGGAATGGACTCACTCAAATCATATATTATCAGCACATCACCTATCTCGAAGAATTGCATCATAAAAATATCTTGAACTCCATTGTATTAAATATCCAAATAAACCAATTCTATTAATATATAGGCCAAGTGATGGACGTAAACAAAACTGTCTTATCCAAATTCCTGGCTTATCTGAAAAATAAGAACTAGTAAAAAATGATATAATATATTTATCATTAAATACATTTTCTAAAAAGTTTATAGAAGACATGTCAAGAAAAGAAAAAATACTTGACTGTGCATACTAGTCAAGAGATGACGCTTGAAGCTTCATAATAAGTTTGAGTTATCGATGAACATTTGACATGAGATAATTTAATATATTTTGCAGGGGTTGTGTAGAATATTTAAACTAACTTATTCAGATAGAAGGTCTCCCATTATCTCCTGAGATTAAGGAAGCAAAAAATAAAAAAGCAATTGAATGTTCATTGAGGTCATTTATTTTTGAAAAACTTGTAGGATATATAAATCAAGATAAAAAAAAAGATCATGAATTTAATCTATCTGTTGACTATATCCTCAAGTTAAAGGATTTGCAAGAAAATAAATGTTAATTATGTTTTAATGAAATGTTGTGGAAATGGGATGTAGCAATAGATTCAGATCAATGGATAGTTGATCGAATTAATAATGATCTAGGACATATAGAAGGAAATGTATATCTTATTTGTTTAGAATGTAACCAAAATCATTGAACCTAATTTATGGCAGTAAATTAGATTTAATGATAATGATATTTACTTATGTGTCTCTTATGCTAGTTCTGTTATTATAAAAATATTTTTATGCATAATAAATATTTAAATAATTAAACAAAGAACATTTTTTTTGGCTATATATTATTTAAAATGAAATGTAATAAAAAGTGATTAACTAATTATCAAGTTGTATAAAGTAACACTATATAATTTTCGTTTAATGAATTTTATTTTTCCTAATGTAGAAAAACAAGTCAGCCTACGCATCTGCCATATTTATTTTTTCAACTAAAGATATATAATACATAATATAAAATATTATTATGAAAGTGAAGATAGTTAAAGTTAAGATAGGAACACAAAAAGTTAATTGTTACCTTGAACCAGGATTTCTCAGTCCATTGATGTATAATGATAAGCTACTCAAGAAAATAGGTGATAAAATTAACAAAAAGTTAATTCCCAAAGATAAATATAGTAAATTCTTCAAAGAGATGACTATGTATCCAATTAGATGAGCTATAATTCCACTTACGTTTATCTCTAATATAAAAAATAATGCTTGTCTTTGTAACAAAAAATCTATCACAATCCCGACTGAAGTACTTGTATATAAATATAGCCCTAAAATATCTAGTTATATATTACTTGGCAATAATTAGTTTTATGGTCAAAAATATGATGATGATGAACTCCAAATATATATATCTGAAATTGTAACCAACACAGAGAATGTCTGAATAAGAACAACATTGTGTATCAAAGATCTTAATGCCAAGAAAGGAAGGAGGGTTATAGTGCGTGTTGCTAAAAATAGTGTTGATGAAATTTATGACTCTGATTCTGATACCTCTGATACAAGTAGTTCTTCCATATCTAGTTTGGAATCAGATAATAAGACTGTGACTATTATACATTTAAAACGTTATTACAGAATAAAAAAGAAAAAATAATTACATATAAACATAATATAATAATCACAATAAAATAATAGAATATACTCAATATTTTCTTGAACAATTATATACTATTCTTTCATATATTCATATGCTTAGGTCCAAAGGAGTAACTCTAAAAGGTCATAATGTGATAAGAAAATATATATCTCCAGAAAATTCATACAAGCAATGTATTAGATGCCGATGTTTGTATAGAGATTCAGTAGATACTCATTTATATCTTCTACAATATTGTTATCCATATTCCAGAAAACAAGCAGTATTAGCTATTTAGCAGATATTTTGTTCATGGAATCAAAAACAAATAAACTCAGCTAAAATAATTCAGCTTGTAGTAATTAAATAGCTTTATTAATCCAATGGATCATTTATGAATCAAGCCAAAGATCGATATTATCAAAATGCAAATAAGTTAAATTAAAAATACTAATTTCATTTCAACTATATTAATAAACTATGATAATTAGATTTTTTACATATTGCGTCACATATTTCTATTACCTGTGACATGTATTCAAGACTATACCTGCCACCCAAATTCAAAATCCAAATGCCGAAATCCCAAATGCCAAAATCCCAAATCCCAAATCCCAAATTATGATTAGTATTTTTTGCCGAAATCCCAAATCCCAAATCCCAAATACTAGTAATTTGGGATTTTGGCGTCCCAAATCCCAAATGATTTGGGATTTGGGCAACACGTATATCAAGACACATGGAGTGTGGTGTTTCCAACACTTAATGTGAGATACAAAGTCGAAATGCCATTTATTCCGAAATTAAATAACAAACAAAATATCAAGTGATACATGGGAAATTGTCAATTATTGGTGATATATGTACAGACGATTTTATAGGTGAGTGATTACCCGATTTGCAATATAGCATGAAGTCGTGGTCACTGATAATTTATTACTTCGATTTAATATGAAATGTAAAAAACCAATACCATAGATCACTGGTACAAATGAAGATCTGCAAATCTATAGACATTTTTATTAGCATCTTGTGTTTGCTTCGTTAATCGGTTTGATCGTATGAATTCATTATCTATTAGTGAAACTAGCTTCACTGAAAATCATTATCTCGATTTAGAATGAAATTTAAAGAACCAATGTTATATATTTCCAATAATAAGTTTTAACATATAATAATAGGATGAATTCGCTAGAGTCTCGGGTAAGAAATAAATCATTATCAACCAAATCAAGTATATAAGCAAATAAAATCAAACAAATTAATTATCCATAAAATGGCATACAACACTTTTTATTATCAATTTTTATTGCCATGATCACGATTTATGAATTATATAACTGGGGTATCTTAACAATGGAGATGCTTTATGCAATTGCCGGGGAAAATGTAACAATATATTTTTTACTCACAATTCTATTTATGTTTATTCGAAGAAATATATTATCAACTCCTACCCCCACACCATCACCAATTCCCACTACAACCGATCAAAGAGTACAAAAACTTGAACTTGCTATTTTGGCTTTGCAAAATGATAATGCGAGAATGCAAGATGAATTACAATAGAAGAATGAAGTCCGAAGTAAAGGTTAGTAAAACACTTGTAAATTCTGATGCATATAACTTAGATTTATTGCAAAGCAATGACTCTTTGAGCCTACATTTCTAATATTCTGCATTTTCATGATTAGGGCAAGCATCTATACAAAGTCACACATCTGAATATTCCGAAAGAACTCAAACTCTATGGGTTGAATTTACTGCGATATTTAACGAAAGAAGAAAATAAGAGAAACGTTCACCCACAAAAATGTATAATGTTTATCTGAAGAAATCAATCTCAGTCCCACAACACTTACAACATTTTACCATCACCAGAGAGTACCACAACGCATTTCGTTAGATAAAATCAAAGCCTGAGTCGAAAAAGAAAACTGGAAAAAAGATAACTCGATTATCATTAGTGGTAGTAGCAGTAATAGTATCAATAGAAATAATTTATTAAGTAGTAGTAACATAATCTTAGATGATAATAATAACGATAGCTAGTGTAGAGTAGGGAAAGGAACAGCCATTATTTTACAATGTAAAGAGGACTAGGATCCCAGGTCAAACCAGTGGGATAGAAAATCAGATGGGGTTGAGTATATTACTAACTATGTATTGTCACGTCTAAACAGTACACAACAGAATTACACAGCAAATCAAGTTCCCAGTCACAATAATAGTTTACACTTCTTCATGTATCGCTATACAGTGTGACAACTTTGAATGACAACTACGAAATCATAAATATTATCTGAAAGGTACGTGAGCAAGTGAAGTAGAGGTAATTTTTCCTACATATACTATCGGTGTTAGAACAGATTTTTAAGAGATAAAATGTTTATTTATGATTGAACAGTAAAAGAAAATTTTATTAGAAGTTAGGCAACAAAATATTACAATGACGTGTTTCTATTCTGTTACTACTTCTATTATTTACATGAATATTATTATAAACATTGTTATAATTACTTAATAAAATAGAATAAGATAAAAATAAAACAAAGAGATAAAATATCAAATGTTGCTATTTCAAAAATATGCCGCGAAAAGGAACTCTCTTTCCTTCCTCTTGCTACCGCTACTTTTATATTTCTTTTTCCTCCATCATTTCCATCATTCATTCTTCTCCATCATTTCCATCATTGTACAACTCCATCATTTCCATCATTGTACAACTCCATCATTTCCATCATCTGTACTTTTCCATCATTTCCATCATTTGTACTTTATCATTTCCATCATTTGTGTTCCCATACCACATATTTTCTGCGCTGCTATCTTCGTACCACCTTATCAATCTTTCATCATTACCACAAACATTTTCTCCTTCAAAGGGGAGCTCCTGCGACCCTACGTCATTGTTCAAATAATTTAGAGTTGTCCGTGAATTTGTTTTTCCACACATTTGCATCAGTCTTTCGTACTCTTGTCTCAGAAGTCTGTATAACCAATCGGGCGTAATACTATGGAGATCTTTCAGCCGTAACATTTTGGCTCCTTGTGCTAATCCTTTTGTCCTCAAGGCTATCGTTCGTATTCGTGAACCATTCTGATGTGAATACGTTCGAAATTCCTGTTCTATCGATGTAGTGGTTCGTTCCATCTGGGCAGCATAGATATAATCCCCGAGACGTCTGTAAGCATTTACCCGTTGTCTGTTTAAATTAGTGGGGTTTATTGCGATAGATAATAGACCTGTTATATCAGAATCAGACATATCCTTCGTTGAATCGTATCCTTCTTCTGGAGCGGTCATTACGTCCATAACATAGGGGAACAACGTATTGTCACTAACGGATTCCATCAAATTCGTTACGTTGTCTCCAAGTATCGCATACGCACCCGTACTATCAACGATAAGCTGCGCATCTCCAGCAAGTACCATTAATTCTTCACGTATTTGTCTTATCTTTCTTCGTAAACTTTCAGGGACTTGCATTTTGTTATTATTATTATATATATATATATATATTTTTTTTTTTATGAATTCCTTGAATTTGAAGTCTTTTAATATCTATCCATCATTCCTTCCATCTCATGTGAGATGAAACCCCTTTGTTTATATAGCTTTAGCCGATTACCATGCACGGGACAATTATTAAGCACTTCCTCTTTCATACTCCTTAATATGTACGATCTGTTATCCAAACATCGATGAATGTAATACGGTCCTGTCCATCTGTTTCGAAATTTATCCCCATGAACTTGCTACAAGTTGGATCAATATTTCAACACTAGGTCACCGACTTTATAGGTGATAGCCCTTATCTTCCTATCATAGATCTTCTTCTGTCTTTCTTGGGTACCTTTTATATTTTTAGCAACTTTTATTTTATTGTCAGTAAATACCCCTATAATTTCACCAATTCTCCTAATAATCAGTTCTTCGTATTGACTTTCGTTAATAGACTCCGATGGCCACGTTAAGATATCGAGTTTCACTGGTAGAGTAGGAGTTCAGCTGTACAAAAGATAAAAAGGTTCGTATTTCGTAGCCTTTTTGAGAAAATCTACTATCCTCCATCCAAACAAACGACAAGATTGGAATTTTTCTAACATATACGATATCCATAATCGAACCGATGGAATATCCTTATTTCAAATAATAGATTTCACATCTAGAAATATTCCTCTATTCTAAAGTTCTTAAGGGAGTGATTCACGTTTAGCTTTTAATAGCCATTGAAATAATCCTTCTTCTGTAAATGGAACGTTTGAATGATCTTTGCTCAATATAACATACATAATCTTTAATGCATCGCATGCGGAATAACATCTGGTTCGTCCCAGTATTTGTTTCTATATAATTATTGAATAAGCAAAATGCGCGTTCAAACTTAGGATTAATACAAGATACTCCTATTTTCAATGTACTTGTATACGCAACAAGATCTATACCTTTCCATGCTTCGTCCACATTGCTAAAATCTTGAGACTTCTCAATTAGATCTAATTTATCATGATATCTTTTGATACGCAATGTTGAAAATTCTCTTATCAGAGCGTAAGTAATACCCTGTATATCTCCTTTAAGATGACAAATAAGAAATACACTTTCTCGCTCTTTATAAGGTAATAAAGACATTACTCTTGCCCATTCCCAGAGTTCAATTAACACAGTTTCTTTATTAGGAGCTAAGCGGAATGTTTTACCTTTTTGAGGTTGATAAGTGTTATGGATAACTGAAAAGAGTTTATTTTTACAAAGACTTTTTGTCTATTCGATATTAAGGTCTGTAAGATCATTATCCATAACAATAATTCACCTCGCCTCTTGAATTAATTTATATAAATCCTCTCTCGATCACCCTCTAAACAGGTGTGGACTTGAGCAATTATAGATATTATCTCATCAAGCTATAAGTCATATGGTATTGGAGAACATTTACATTTCTTCTTGCATTTACATTTATTAATAATACGATGTAAGCTCTCTATTTGACACACTACTCTTTAGTGATCTGGGAGATTAATATCACTATCAACATCAGTATACGATTTGAGGTTGAGCCATGTAATTACGGCACTAGAATAAGTGTGTCGTATAGATAGTACAAGTAAGTTTACACCATCAGGAATTGTAAGATGCTCTAAAGTATAAGTTTTTCCCATTGTTACAGAATGAAAATATAATGATAAAATAATAAAAAAAAAAAAAACACCTGTAATAGTCTATAATAACCCTTAAAATAATATTTAGAATTTAATATTAGTTCATGTAACAAATAGTAACAATTTAATAATTACTT